GCAGGGAACACAAGGTTGATTGCCTCTAGTTTATAAAACTATTTCTTCTGCCCATCATCCATCTCTTTTTCTTATGACCATAGAACCTGGGGAGCTGACCTACTCCTGTACAACTGATAGACACCTGTTACTATGATAAAAAATACCAAGGCAGCTACATTTGAAAGAAGCGGGGTTTGTTTAGCTCATGGTTTTAGAAGTTTAAAGTGTTCTCATAAGGGTCTCCCTTGTCAATAACACACCCTGTCAGGAATGTATGTATATCTCTTTTGATGGTTTCTTTCCCCTTGTAAAATGACCAGGCTACCATCTTGGAGTCTTCACTCTAATGATTTTTAGCTAATCTTATGCCTTCTCAAAGGTCCCACCACTAAACACGTTTCTACCCTCATCACATTAACATATGACCTTAAGGATTAGATTTATGCATGAGTTGGAGAAGAAGTCTCTTCAAACCATCGCACAAACTTGTTTCCAAAGCCCTTGTTAAATCTCCTGGACCATCAGCACTCAGGAAGCTTCCCTTTTTCAGAGGACTCAGGGCTGCAGGAAACCATGTGGCTGCCTGAAGGAATCTTCAAAGACTGTCGAAAATGAAGCCAAATTTGGGGCGCAAACTTAAGAAATACATAAAGAGGAACTGGTTCCTGTGATGGGTTGAGGCCTGATTCCATGAGTACCTGGAGTTACCTCTGTATGAACGGTGTTCCACGTCCTTACATTGCCCGAGTCTCTCAAAGCTGAATATTCTGTCACCTGCATCCTAAAGCGCACCATACACCCACTGTCACAAGCAGATTGTCTTCCAGGATACCCTGATATGTAATCTCTTCATCCATGGCGCTCTTCATTGGGCTGTCTAATAGATGACGGTTTTACAACCTCTACCAGTATACAGTCTGGTTCCTTACGTTGGCTTTGAGGTCAGCAGGGAACAGGATTGGAATAGTATGCTGTTCTTGCTTTTTCCTGAAATCTCTGGTTGTCTGCTCCTTACCTACTTCCTTGGAGCTAGGAAATGACTCCTAGAGGAAGCCTTCTAGTAGAGGTGCTCCAGCTTTGTCGCAGTAGGTGACACCCATGTACTCCCATCTCCCCATTTTCAGAAAAATGTAATGGGAGCCTTTTGTATATAAATAAAACTTAAACAGAATACTAACCTTTCAGCCATAGTGAGAACAAGTTCAACAGAAATGTATTCAAATTTATAGTAAGTATTACACAGTTCTGTTTTACCTTTAAAAAGAACGTTAGGAGTAAGTAGCTACAAGTAAGCTGGAATCAATTCAATATTAATGAAAAGCCCAGTGTGTTTACTTCTGAGACATTCTGTTGTGATTTTAATTGGATGGCGTATCTGGATGTATTTAGAAGTTCACACCTAATTGTGACCTATGTGACACCATTAAAGAAATAGAAACAACTGGCAGAGGCACTCATTCTGGAACTGATAAACATGATACAGTTTGTTCATTTGTCTGAAAATTCAAGTCACTTTTTTTCTATTCTCATAAAATTGTTTAGAATCCTTCACCCTCTGGCAAGAGACTCCGAGGGAAGGAAGCGGGTAGTATTAGAAGTAAGATATTCTGCAAGATGGGAAGAAGTTTTACTTTGGGCAGCCTGTGGGACTATTCCTTTAAATAGGCCTAGTTATGATCGGAACTTATCTGACTTTGGGTTAATCACTTGCAGTTCCTGGCACCCAAGCAAGCCCCAGTTATAAATTAGTGGCAGGTGCCCAGAGATTCTGGAGAGTACATGGAAAGGAGCAGCATGCCCTGAGGAGCTGTGTGAAGAGACCCACTGGAGCATGCAGTAGCTCCATGTAATTTGGATTCAATATTCCTGGGTTTGCATAGTGATTCTGTGCTGCTTCTCTGTGCTCAGTGATCTTGAACTGCTCACCTCGGGTCATCACTTGGGCTGTGGGCAGTGGAAAGGCCATGAGCATAGCACTTTTTTTAAGATAGGAATTTAAAATAAACCCTTTTAAAGAATAGAGTTCCCTCCCCCCGGCCCCCTTACTTAAATACTACTTACTGTATTTCAGCAGGGCTTACTTGAATACAGTGTGATCACCAAGGATTTTAATGCCCTTGCTTTCTTATTGGACTTGGAGATAAGCATTTTCACACAGTAATTGGACCTTAGGACTCAGAGAGGCCTTTCCCATCACCTCCTTGGTGTTAGCATGACCTCTGTGTTGACAGACAGCTATTAAACTCACATCTTATTATCTGGTGATGTTAATGTGAAAAATACTGTGTTATGTAGAACGGATTTCACTGTATTCTAACAGATGCCACTGGTATAATAGCCTAATGTAACAAATGCACCAAATATGTTCAAGCATGTTTTTGACACTATTTTCATAAGTGGTGATATATCCTAATTGAAACTTACTAAAATTATGTTTTCTCCAACTGTCATGAAAACATACCAAACCATGTGGGGTTTTTTTGTGTGCTTGTGATTTAGCAATATAAGATATATATTCTTTTTGGCTTCTCACTCTGATTTAGAATTAGATTTGAAAATTCAAGATTTTATCCTTGTGAAGATTAGTCCAAGGAGCCAATTCAGTTTCCAAATATGTGTTAATTCTCCCTCTTGACTTATACTGCAATAGTAGATTTAAACTTAAAGGTTTATTAAAACATTTTCAAATTACATTATTAGAGTAAAGTGGCCTGTCTGCCTGCTTCTTTCTTTCATTTCTTCTTCCTTTCTGCATATCCTCCCTCCCTCTCCTTTCCTTCCTTCCTTCCTTCCTTCCTTCCTTCCTTCCTTCCTTCCTTCCTTCTTTCTCTCCCTCCCTCCCTCCCTCCCTCCTTCCTTCCTTCCTTCCTCCCTTCCTTGATGAAGGAAGAATGTATCTTTCAGAATCTTCAAAGAAAGTCTTAAATATTTCCTTAATCACTGTATGCCTGTATTTAGTATACTCTTGCATCCTATAATCTTTTTCTTATACCTTTTTCCTTGTAAAACCAAACACACTTAGAAAAGAGTTAATACCAGAGGCAGTACTACCTATTTATGACAAAGGAACTACTATCTAGGTCAAGACATTTAAAAATGGCTATATACCCCCCCCCTCAAAAAAAATCTCTACCATGCATTCCCTGGTCACTGTTCATTTTCTCCCCTTCCCAGAGTTAACCACAATTTTTACTTGCATATTATTACTTGGTTGCTTTCTTTATAGTGTTACTACCTATTCGTGTGCCTGGAGCACTATGATTTAGTTTGCTCATGGTCTTTGTTGTTGTTTTGGCTTGAGCTTTCTTTTTAATGTGAATGAACGGAATTACACTGGAATCCTTTTGGATTCACTATTTTTCACTCAGTTACCTTTACAGACATCGTAACAGCTTTCTTGCCTATATAGTAAGTATTTCATTGTAGGAACTACCTGCAACTTGTTCATGCATTCTGCTGTCCAGACAGCTTCCAGCACTAATAATGCTGTGGACAATCTTTCTTGTCGATTGACCAACTCCACACACATTTCTAATGGTATATTTGTGGGAGTGAAATTGCCAGTGCACAGTGTTTGTGAATCATTACTGTTTGTTAAAGCAGTACCACTTCACACTCCCACCAGAAGAAAAGATAGTTCCATCTCCCGTGTCCTCATCACACTTGATATTCTTCTCGCCCATCTGTTGCTTGTGTTACCTCCTGGTTTTAATTTCCATTTCTTTGATTGGTAATGAAGTCAAGAAATGCAGAAAAGTCTGTTGATATTTTTACTGGAATTGTATTTAATCTATACATCAATATGGAAGGAATGTTCAAAAGAATGGAGCCTTCTAATACATTAGCATAATTTTTCTATGTAGTGGTTTTCAATTTGTCAGGAAGATTCATTGTTTTCTGTATAAAAGCTTTGCATATCATGTTAATCAATACATTCATTCCTAGTTATCATATATTTATGCTAGAATAAATGATTTTTTTTTCTGGTCCTGGGGCTTGAACTTTGGGCTTGAGCATAATCCCTGAGTTTTATTTTGCTCAAGGCTATTGCTCTACCTCTTGAGCCACAGCTCCACTTCCACTTTTTGGTGATTAATTGGAAACAAGAGTCCTGTGGACTTTACTGCCTGGCTTCTAATCACGATCTTCAGATCTCAACCTCCTAAGAAGCTATAATTTGAGGTGTGAGCCATTAGCACCTGGTTATTATGAATAATTCTTATCTTCCCTGCTTGTACTGTATTTACTCATTTGTTCATTTGGTCAGTTACTGAGAAATGTGTTAATATTCCCATTGGTTATGAGTTCCTTTATTTCTCTTTCTAGTTATGTAATTTTTATTTTATAGATTCTGATCCTATGTTATGAAGTGTGTGCAAATTTGTAATTATTTTATCTTCCTGGTGAATGAAATGATTTATCATCATTAGTGTGTTTCTAGTGTATTTCACCTCAGTAATGCTTATTTTTTTTTTGTTTGTTTTGTTTTTTTAAAGGTAGTAATGCTTATTTCTTTAAAACTTAACCCTGATTACTAATTACTGGTTCCAATGCATCAAGTTGAGTTGGTTTTTGTTTTTGTTTTTTTTTTTGGTTGCTATATGCATGGCAAATTTTACTATTTTTAGCTTTTCTGCATCTCTGTGTTTTAGATGTTGGCTTATGAATAGGAGACAGCTTTATTTACTGAAAGCATGCCATTCTTTGTCTTTTAAAAGCATGATCAAGACATTTGATGTGAGTGAATCCAAATCAGTGTCAATATTTTAGGTCAATAACCTTTTTAGCCAACTCTCTCATCTTCGGTTACTTCTTTGACTCCTGTATAGTGAAAAGACATCCAGGGACTTGAAATATTTTTAAATTGGTGTTTGGGAAACTTGGCGTGCAAAATCTTGTCTTCATTGTGATTCACCTACTGAGTTCCAGTAAACACGCATTAACATTAGGTCTCTTAATACATTTTGTTTTTGTTTTTGTTTGCAAAATACTATAAGAATTTCATTGTTGCTTTACAGGGCTGTGACTCCCAAATGAGCGTGTCAGAAATGTCGTGTAGTGAAAGTACCTCCTCATGTCATTCTCTGGAACACGGCTCAGTTCCGGAAATTCTCATTGGCCTGCTTTATAATGCCACAACTGGACGATTAGCAGCAGAAGTGATAAAAGGCAGCCACTTCAAAAACTTGGCAGCAAACAGACCACCCAGTGAGTGAAAAAATTTATTCTAATGTTTTCTGCACTTACGGGACTCTCGGCATTAGGGCTTCAATGCTATCATTTTAGTCTTAACCAATCAAAATGAAATGGTGAATCATCAGCTAATCTGTTTCATGTTTTCTATTTCCAGTCATTTGGGAAGTAGAAAAATTTGAAATTCAAAATATTAATTGTATGGTGACAGGAATCTTAATTTTTCATAGTATCTACAGAATAAATTACCCCTATCATAGAGCTTATCTTATAATGCCGGAAAAGTTACAGGGTTTTTAAAAAGTGAGTAATATTCACAAATATGAAGAGAAATGTATAGATCTATTGTAGTTAGCTGCAAATCAATGTTATCTTCTGTCTGCATGCAGTAATCTGAACTAATATATTTACATCTACATTTTCCTTTCTTTTGGCCCTTAATAATTTAAGAAGAAACTTGTTTCCTCACATATTCTTTTCCTTTAAAATTATAGGAATTATGGGTGAGCTCAGTGCAAGCATGTGTTTAGCATATACAAGGCCCTGGGTTCTATACCCAGCATCAAAAAAGGAAAAACTTATAAGCCATTGTTGCAGCAAAGTCTGTTCTTAGATGGAATCAGCTTTACCTTTACCAGAGCAACTAGAATAAGAACTCCTTGTTACTTACCTTAGAGAAGGCTACCAGGTTATCTCTGCCCAGACTTTCTGCCTCTCTTCTCTCTCCCAGTTGATGAGTACAAAGGCTAGGTTTTAAGAGTACAGAGAAATTGTCCTCCAGTGTTCCTCCCAAACAGTTTGTTATTATCTATGAGATGAAAACTGAGAGCAGACCAACTTTGCTACATTCTCTAATATTAAAGTTATTAATAACCTGAATTAATATTTTGAAAGGCCGTCTCAAATGATATATTAGAGAAAATTTGCTTCAAGATTCTTAGAGACTTGTTTAGTGCAGTCTTTTACTCCAGGTATCAACCAATTTAAGGAGGGGAAACTTTTTCATGCTCAAATTAAATAAACTTTGCTTCTAAACATCATAGAATTTATTATTCAGTGGAGGGGAAAAGTCACAAAAAATATATTTGGTTTGCCCCAAGAAATGTTGGAAAACTTACTTTTTGTGTATATCATAGAACACATCTGTCCCCCAACTAAATGTGTGAAGGCTAAAATTAGAGCCACATTTCTTGCCCTTAACCACTAATCTAATTCCCCTAAATCTGTTGGGTTTTTTTTGTTTTTGTTTTTTGGGGTTTTTTTGTAGATAAAATTTCATTTATCACAGAGTAATTTAGAGATGTAGGTCTGACAAAGAAGCATAAAGGAAAGATGGAATTTAGTGTTACTCCTTTTCCCATGTCAAGGAAAAAAATTAATAGGGAAAATAAGCCATTCTTGAAATGAACAGACTCAAATGACATAGAGAGACAACCTGAGTAAGATGTGTGGGTGAGAGATAGGCACCCACCTGGCTAGACGTATCCAGATTCAAAGGTGCTGCTGAAGCACTCAGCCAGATGAGAGATCATAACTTGGGGTTACATTGAGCCACAGGCTACCAGTTTCCCCCTCATATTTTAGCTAATACTTTGAGAAAAATTTTGGACAAATAGTGAAGTAGAGATGCTAATGAAGCAGCAGAACTTAATGACATTCGGATAAAATAGAAAAAAAAAGAATCAGAACTAAAACGGAGGCAGACCCAGGGTTGGGTAAGAAAGATTAGCATCCACAACACAGAGTCTGTCTTTCAGATTAAAGAGTGGGTATAGCGTTTTCCATAGTTTTGGGATTAGATCTTCAATATAAGGTTACTAATAGTATTAGCTGGAGGCAGCTAATAAGTAAATGTTTAAGTTTTTTTTTCAATAATTATGTGACAGTAGAATTAAAGGAGATAGACACTTTGATAAAGTAAAATGCAAGACAGTTCTATCATTTGTTCTAAACTGTATGAAATTATAGTGCTTCATATATATCTAGGTTCTAAGCTTTGAACTGTGTTATAAACTGAATAATCTGTTTTATCCAAAGCAACAATCAAGAGGAAATAAAATGATAGTTCTGTTTTATATTTTGCAGAACTTAGTGTTATATTACATCGGAAGCAATAAAACTATTACTTTGAAATATTAAATATTGCATGGATAAATTTAAATTTTAACATAATAATGATAATCCTATAATGACTTTTATTCAGTCTTTAATAGCCTGATAATTTGCATGATTCTATGTTCAATGTGCTTCAGACCAAGAGGATGTCATTAGAAAGATATCTCCCTTAAAACCAGTGTAATTTTTGTTTAAGATTACACAATGATGTTAAATTTTTTCATTCCATGAAACTTACCAACAACCCTTTTGTTTAACCCTCTACCTGAATTAAAATGCTAAAATTTGTGTTTTTCCACTCCAGTGCACAATGTTTCCTCTTTAATTCTGACCTTTGACCCTCTTTCACCCAACGATTGACATCTGGTCATTATTTCTTTTACTGCTTTCCACCCCCTGTTGTCAGATGGACTGTTCTGTTGTCTAAAACACTTGATAGGTGGACAGGTTTATATAATCCGAGGTGAGTTCCTGTAGAGGCTAATTGGATGTTGTCTTTTCATGCAAAAACAAAATACCCTAAAACTTGCCAGCAGTGAAACTGTCCACCATGTTGGTTTCTAAAAATATGCACATTAATTATCTGTGATACTTTAAATAAAACTAACTTAGAATTTATCTCTGATTATGGATGATGGTATTCAGAGTATTTACAAAATATGCAAAACTTTTTAAAAGTTTTTATTTTTTCCACTTGTTTGTATTTTGATTTATGCAACAGAAATAGATATTTGGTGAGAAATATTGCAATTGTCTTTGAAATTAGTTGAATTTTGATGTAAAGTACACATGATGGATCAACATGCTGAAGATCATTTGCATGAGTTGAGAGAACTTGAAAACACAATCTTTTAATGAGAGGATTTATCTCCCATAAAATCAGGCAATGAAATGTTTTATTTTACTTTGTATAACAAACATCACATCAACTTTTTTATAATTCATAAAAATAGTTAAGGTATAATACTTAAAATTTTACATTAAATTGTACCTAAAAGAAACCTTATAACAGTTATTTTAATTGTGAAAAGAAAAGCACATTAAATGTACTCTTGCATGAAACCAGAAAAAAGTTTGACTTGGTTTGCTGAACATTGAATTCTTAATGCATTTGGCTTCATTTTGGCCTTGAATGTTTGAAATATATATTTAAAAACCACATCCATGCAGAGATTTTTTTGACATTTCATCTTAAGCTGTTTTAATGTCATCTTTGCATTCTTGTCTTCCTTTTTCCCTCTTCACCATTTGCCTTCATTTCTATTTGTTTGTTTCTTCTTATTCTCTGAAAACACAGTGGAATGCTTTACAGTGTTGTGGCTAATTGAGCTTGCTAAGTGTTTATTAATGCTATGATGTCCTGCTTAGTGAAGCTAAACGGGGATGGTAATGGGCAGGGGTGGTAGTGGGAGGTCAAGGTTGGGATGGGAAGGGGTGAAGAAAGGATTATGAGGTATACCTTTAAATTCTATTATGGAGAAACAGTGAGGTGAAGATATTACTACTCCCAGAATATTTTCAGCCTACCTAGCATTCTCTGTACTCATCACATTTTTATAAGCATACATGAAAATGGAATTGCTTAAATTTCCATTAAACATGGTATACACCATATCCTTATAAGGTGCAAATACTTAATCTCAGCTTTTCCCGTTTTTGAATCCATTTCAAATGATATTTGTGGTATGTTGGTTTTTTTTCTTCAGATACATATGTTAAGTTAACACTACTGAATTCCATGGGTCAAGAGATGTCCAAATGCAAGACATCCATCCGCAGAGGGCAGCCAAATCCCGTGTACAAGGAAACTTTCGTTTTTCAAGTGGCTCTATTTCAACTTTCTGATGTGACACTGATACTGTCTGTGTATAACAAACGCAGCATGAAAAGAAAGGAGATGATAGGCTGGATTTCTTTAGGTCTGAACAGCTCTGGAGAAGAGGAACTCAATCACTGGACTGAAATGAAAGAGTCAAAAGGACAGCAAGTATGTCGATGGCATGCATTACTAGAGTCGTGATGGATAGGATAAACAGGAAATTGATCCAAGGCAGCATTATTTCTGATTACAACCCTGCTGTTTTGACCTGGTCACCATGAGAAGAGCTGTGCTTTGGAGAATCATACTCAACAATCTACCAAAATGCTTTAAAGTCTATGAGAAAGAACATCTAATGCCGACATAAATGAAGAAAAGATCTGTCTCTGGTAGCCTTTGTTTGAGAAGCTTATGTCACTCTTGTTAAATTAACAACCCTCTGGAAAATGAATAACAGGCCTTTGAGTTGAAGTTAATTTTACTTTAGCAAAAGAGCCAGTCATTTCGTGGAAGATTATCGATGGTTTGAAAAATCAGAATTTTAGTTGCAACATTACTTTAAACACCTACATATACTTTGACCTGCCAGTCCCTGGTATTTATAAATTTCTTTAATGCTCGCCAACACTGTCGTGAGTCGTATGTAACGGCGAAGGGTTTCAATCACATTGAAGATGGGTCATTTCAGAAAGTGATGTGCTATTTCCGTGCCCTTCATTTCTTTGTGCCTCGGTTCTTTTCCATAGCATTAAATCTAATTGTAAGCAGTTTACCATCTTCATAAAGGAATTTTTAAGAGGTGTTATTTTTTAAGAAGTTTACTTCTTTTTCCTCTGCTTTTGCCTGACCCAAAGAGACCAAGTCATCGACTGGTCCCTGGCGCCTTTTAGACAGGTTGTACTGTAGAACTACGTAACTTTCTGTTGAAAGCACTTCCTGTATTCTTGTATTCCAATGTAGGAAGCCAATAGAGCAGAACTTTATTTTAGAATTTCTTTCAGTGATTAACTCTACCACTAGTAATGTGAGAATTCATTATTTTCTTGCAAATCGGAAAATACAGTAGATATAAGGTGTGGAAGACTGAAAACAATTCAAGTTTAACCAAATTTGAATGATCTGCTCTAAGTATTTAGTAACCAGCACTGCATAAGTCAGGTAGAGTCAAAATAAGAAACTCTTCTATCTCTAAATCTTCGCTCTAACTTCAATTTCTGTGGTGAGATAAAGACTGTCCAGCTCTCAGTTTGAATCAGAACATCAAGTTCAAAACAGTTCTGAGATTCCTTATGAAGTTTCTAGTGACTTGTGACTAGGCTATATGAAATTTCCAGATACCTTTCTTCAACGTGATGTCATCCTGTGCCTTTCATGTAAGTTCAATTTGCTCATACAGCTTGCAAGTTGTATTTGCAAAATTAGGCCTTCGATTTTTATTAAATGTAAAGATTCCTCAGAACAGTGTCACAAGATCTTTATTTCCTCTGAAATATGTAAAAGTTGTATTATGTGCTAATTTTTAATGGCAAGGCACTTTGATTTGTTGTTTTTATATTTAGAAACTGATTAGTCAGAAATATTATAAGCTGTTTTCTTTTTAATTTTGCTTCTTACCTAATATATAAGTTTATGCATATACCTTATTAAATAGAGTATGTTTCATATATATGAATTTTTTCTCTTTCTCATTTCTATTTAAACTAGATAAAACATACAATTTACCAATTACTAAAAAGCAGTATCATTGTTCCTAGTCCCAACTAAGTACTATATGTTATTTTAAGCTAGAATTTGTTATTACTATAATAACGAAACCATACATAGATATTATTTCTTTACCTTGGCTGTACTGAAAGGCCTTAAAAGAAACCCCCCCAAAGACCATGAGATCCTATTTTTTTTTTAGTTTTAAAAAGGCAGCTCTATGTATTCACACACATGAATTACAAGAAAAAAGTAAATTTGGATAACCTAAGGCATGAAATGTGAGGATTGCATTAAGGAGAAAATTCATCCCTTTTTTTTGGTACATCAATAACTTTTTCCACATTTTTTAAAATATATGTTAGGTTATAGAGTTACAACATGAGTCAAATGGCAAATACTTCACTTAGTTATTTGTCAAGTACAGTATGGAAAAAAATGAAGTAGGAAGCAAATTCTGCTGAAAACTTGAATTGAGTCATTTGGTACTATGGTTATCTTTCTTGTCTTTGAAACAACTGCCTGCATTATTAACAACTGGTATCTATCTTCCTTATTTTAAAAAAAGTTACCAATCTGATTTGTAGGTGTAACAAAGTTTAATCAAAAACACTAATGAGAACAGCTTAGTGCTTTCACCATTAGTGTAAAAAAGACCTAATTAATAGTTATTTGTTAAATAACAGTTTGACAAATAGCCTTTCTTCAGACTATGCTCAGAATTGTGTGCAGGCTATGATAGCACTAGAGCTTCACCTGGTAGAAGTAAGTATCACATCTTATAATAGGGCAAAATAATTAGCTTATCTTTCACATTGCAGGAGTTGACCCTCCATTTACTCCAGCTTCCAAGTCTTCAAAGATAAATTGTATTTGTAGGTACATCTATACAGACCTACACACACAGAACATGCCGTGTGTGTGTATAAGCATCTGTAATGGTGGAGGTGCCTGGCCTTTTTTGATAACTGAATAGACTTCACGACTCACACTTATGGGCTATCTTTCTCTATGTAATTACTAGATGCTGCATTTGGTTTGGGGTGCTGTTTGCTGCCATTCTCTGTAGACAGCAAAACATGTACCTTTTTATCCTGTGGTTTGACACAGCTTCATTACTCCCTCAAAATTGTCTATTTTTTCAGAAAGGGATTTAAATAGAGTTCAAGAACCTACTTCATGCTACTGAATCTGATGTATGAGACAGTAGTACATTTTGTGCTTGAATTCACAAGACAGCTCAAAGGCAAATCTTATATCACCATAATTGCAGCAAAAAGGGGCCCACTGGTAGGCAGCAGGTGTTGACTCAGAAACTTGAGACAGACTGCCCACTTCTGATTGTTCTGCTAAAATCCCCTAAGTTTTATAATCTAATGAAATCGTCTGATATAGTAATTGACTGGCATCTGTGGGAACCACAGAGCCTGGAATTACAGTCTCCCAAATGAGCTGCAAAACATAGTTGTTTATTACTACCCAGGAAATAGAGTGTATGTTGCCTCAGTAAAGAATTTGCTTAGTATGATGCCATCTTACCTTTCAGAAGCTTTCTTCTAGACTCTTGAGGCCTCACTACTAGCCACATTTTATTAGAAAACAACTTGCATATTATGTTACAGTAAAAAGGCCTCAATTTTTTTAATGGAAAATCAATGCAAACAATTATCTAAACTACCCTGGCTAATATACTTGAGTTTTGATGTTGGGCCTAGTGGGATTGTTTTACCCAAGCTACATGTTAGATTATTCGCTTATTACTGTCATCATTTTTGTTATACTTACCAAGTGAAGGACATAATCATGACTATAAGGTAAGATTGCATCTACAGGAAAGGCAGAGTAGAACTGAGATGTTCTTCAAGATGAAGGTGAATGGGAAAACAAATGTTAGGAGTTTGTCAAGTGCATTAAAAAACTAGGTAGGCCACTGAAGTGCAAATCTTAGATGGCATAAGAGCAGTAATCACCAATAAAGTTTCTTAAGGTCCTTGTTCACACATGAATAGAAACAATACAAATTCATTTGCGTGAAATGTTCATTTTACACACTCTATCCACTAGACAATTCATAGAGTAATTCTCATCAATAGTTGTACTGACAAGTTTTCATTTCTTTTCTTTCCATTCACTGTCCCTGTTTATCTGTGTTGATAAGAAAGACTTGTGCCTTCATTGTACTTATTGTGTTCTCCTTGAAGTTTTTATTATGTTTCTTCTACTAAAGGTTTATTAACACTTGTCAGGAATTGCATACAGTTTTATTACACGTGTCTCTTTCCCCTAAGGTAATAGGGAAATGCCTCATCCTTTTATCTTTATGTGTTCCTTGGCTTATAGTAGACACATAATAAATACTGAACTGATCTAAACTCTCTATGGAAGAAATCAGTAATACTGTTAGATAAGTCTCATTTTGTATGAATCTTGCATTATGTGTGGATTTATTTTTCATTCATTTGATATATAGTTATAAGAGAATCAACAATATGTCCTGTGTTATTCTAAGCACTGCAGATGTGGAGATAATAAATTGGAGAGGCAAACTCAACTTTGTCCTCATGGGGCTTATGCTCCAAGGTAGGAAAACAGACACAGAATGGTGTTACTTCTCACTAAAGTAATGATGTGTTAAGATAGAGAAGCATGCACAGAGAACTGTGGCATTTTGTGGAGAAGTACAACGTGGCGTTCATGAAAATTTCCTGCAGAAAATGATCCCTGGGTTGGAAATTAAGAAACAAATGTTGCCAAGACTCCTATCAAAACTCCATGAACTTCAGGACAAAATAGGAAATAATGGTTCTCAAGCTATAATGTGCTTAAGCATTATCTTTAGAGCTTAGTTTGTGCTCCAGAACTCTCTTTCCAGACATCCTGTTTTTTGGGGAGTCTGGAGGGAAGCACGAGAATCTAGATCTGAACAAACTCCTCCAGGTCGAGGGGGGAGTTTGTTCAGAATCTAGATCTGAACAAACTCCCCCCTCGACCTGGAGATCATGTCTGAGTTATACTGATAAAGAATATTGACATTCTCATTACAAAGAATTATCAGTAGCAGTATTTAATGCCCATAGGTGAAATATTTAAGTATGATAGTGATAAGTGAGAGATATTATACATTGCTACATTTGTAGTAATGATCTTTTCCTTGCAATTCTTTCTTTAAAAAAAGACATTTAGTGAAAAATTAAAAGTAATATTTATGAGTTTCTGAACATAACTTTTCAAAGTGGTCCTTGATGTAATAGTTAAATTCTAGTGTGTTGTTTGGGTGATTCCTGAAAATTCATTTCTTCTTCTACTAGTTTCCTCTAGGCTCTCTTTACAATGATAGATATAAGGCAGAGAGAGTCTGGGGAGGTATTTATCTGCTGTTCTCTGCCAGTATAAGGCCCACCTTTCCACAAATGAGTAGTAGCAGTTGTGTGTAAAGGCATTTTTGTGCTCCTTCTTATAGTGAGCTTGCTTGCTTCTTGCTTTCTCCTAATTGACTTCGTGGTTATCATACTATCAGATGAACTTCAGTCCTGGATTCTGTGCTAGGAAAAGCAGTATTTCTGTCACTCCTATTCTGATC